ATTAAAAAATAAGTATTTTTTAAATTTAATATAATGAGTGGATATATGTTCTATTTCAAATTATGTAAAACTAAATGTTACAATTACATTAGTTTTATATTTAAATTACTTATTTATTGAATAAATATTTCAAGTATTATTTTTAATAATCAAAAAATTATAAGTGAAAAACTAAAATAGAAAAAAGAAAAATACAACCACATATTTTTGAAATTTTAAATCAATCAATTGCATGTTATGTATTTAATTATTTGAAATTTGTGATATTGTAGAATGACTCCTAAACAACATGACATTGGTTGGGAACACGCAACACCAGTTGGTGGTGATCGAAGAATTATAAAGTGTAACTATTGTGGAAAAATAGTTCATGTCGGTATTACTCGAATGAAGCAGCATATTGGACATGTATCCAGTCAGGTGGAAGGATGTTCAAGTGCACCAAAAGAAGTGTCACAATTGTTCAAACAACATCTCAGTGATCGTAGTAAAGAAAGGGCTTCTAGAAAGAAGAAAAAAGAACTAATTGTACAATCATTACGAGATAAAGTTTTTTACAGCCTGGATGATGATGATGGTCAGAATAAAATTAAAGAGGGTGATTTTGAAAGAAGACAGTTAAAGCAGGCAATGAAGAAAAACCGTCAAATGGCTTGGATGGAGGAAGAGGGTCGTAGGCACGCTGTATCAAATGCAAGTAGTCGTTCTACTAAGGGTCATTTTTTGGTACTGGATCATCACAACCATTTGGCTTAGGAATCAAGCACTGACCACCACGTAGCAATAGTGTAAAAGAAGGTGTCAACGTGCCTGTAAGTAGCATTAATCTGTACATGTTCCCGTCTAAACAAAAGTCAGTAAAAGACATGTTCTCAAGTGAGAACCTGAAAAAAGTGGGAAAAACTATTTCAAAGTTCTTCCTCTTCAATGCAATATCATTCAATGCAGCTGATAGTGGGCCTTACTATCAATCAATGATTGACACTATTGAGGATGCAAGCCCAGGAATAAAGGGCCCTACAGGATATCAAGTTGGTAGTTCTTATTTGGAGGAGGAGGTTCAAGAGGTTGACATTTATATATTCTCGATGAAGGTAAAATAGCCTTAGTATGGTTGCACAATCATGTCTGATGGGTAGAGTTTTAGAACAAATAAATCCATTATCAATTTCATGATTTATTGTGATCGTAATATGATTTATCATACTTCTGTTGATACCACCAACATTTCAAAAACTGCCAACTATATTTTCTCTCTTATGGATAAAATTGTTGATGAAATTGGAGAAGAAAATGTGGTTCATATAGTAACTGACAATAAGGCAAACTTTAAAGCAGCTAGTAAGATGTTGATGGATAAAAGAAAACATTTATTTTGGTCTCCTTGTGCAACCCATTGTATCGATTTGATGCTAAAAAATATTAGTTATATGAAAGCAATCAAAAAGACCATAGATGATGCTAAAATGATACATCCTTTATCTACAACAGCCTCAAAGTAGTGAACTTAATGAAGCAACATACAAGAGAGAGAGATTTATTAAAACCAGGTATAACATGATTTGCCACTGAATTCATCGCCATTGAAAGTCTTATTCGTTATGAATCGGACTTGAAACACCAATGAATGATGTGAGTTCAACAAAGACAAGATGAGGAGAAAAACAAGAGATATAGTTTCAAACCTTATTTTGACTGACCAATTTTGGAAGAAGGTTAGAGAAGTTCAATCTGTCATGGAGTCTCTTGTTAGGGTCTTAAAGATAGTTTGATCAAGACAAAAAAATTGACTTTATCAATTGTCTATGAGGCAATGGACGGGACTAAATTAGCCATACAATATTCAGTCAAAAATTGGAGAAAATACTGGGTCGTGATTGACAAAAGATGAGAGACCCAATTGCACAGACACTTGCATGCAGCAGGTAAAAGTGTTTAAAAATATAAATTTTTTATTGAGTATTAGCTTGTAAAATATTATAGTTTTCCACTAACTTACATTTAATTGTCAAAAACTTTGCAGCTTATTTCTTAAATCCAATTTTTCAGTATTCTAATCAATTTTCCGACCATCATAAGGTAAGATCTGGTTTGAAAGAGGTTATTAAAAGATTGAAATCAGATTTGAATAAACAAGCAAGGGCAATGAATGAGGCATGACGATTTTTGATAATATTTATTATAATATGTATATATATTGATCACATACGTAATATATTACACAATAAATTGCAGATCAAATTATATACTGACAAACATGGTGAGTTTGGAAATGCACTCACTAAGAAAGTTGTATGTGCCTCTCTTCCAGATTTATTATTTAAATTATATGTATTTATTAATGTATCATTTGTTACTCTTATGAACAAATACTAATGTTGTACATTTTTTTTTGTAGCTGAATGGTAGATCAATTATGGTGAAGAAGCTCCCATCTACAAAAAATTGCAGTCAAAGTCTTAAGTCAAACATGTTCATCATCAGGGTGTGAAAGAAATTGGAGTACATGGTCGCTAATCCATATAAAACTTCGCAATTGATTGGCAATGAAAAAGCAAAATAAGCTAATTTTTGTGCACTACAATATGCGGTTGCGAGTTAGAAATTTGACATATCAACGTAAAAATGATGATTTTCATAATCCAATTGATTTGAACTACATTTTTAATGATGAGGATATATTAGATGAGTGGATAAGAGAAGGGGAGGAATCAGTTTTACCACTTGATAACTTAAGTTGGCTGGATGAAGATATTCGTGACATTGAAGAAGGTGGAAATGGACGAGATGCAATTGATAAAGGTGACACTAACACAACTCCAACATCTAGCAACTATGCCACTACTAGAAAATCTAGAAAAGATACGAGGCCAACCAATAAGGGTACAAAGGCTATGAGAATTTTTGTCAGTTCTAATGATTCTTCTTCTTCTTCTGATGATGATGATGATGACAATGTTGTTGATACTTATGGTGGAGGTGGTGGTGGTGGTGGTAGTAATAGTACTAATGATACTGATGCTAGTAATCATAGTGGAGATAATGATGAGGGCAACAAGAGTGGTGGTAGAAGGACTACTGTTGATGGTGGTGATACTCAACTAGTTGGCGGTATGTCATTGGCACAGGGGCAAGACAATTATTATGCTACACAAGATACAGACCATGAATATCGACTAAGGGCAATAAAACAATGGAGGAATTTAAACTCTTCTATTGGTGATGATTATTCTAATAGACGCCACCATCATTCACTTAGTCGGCAAGATATTAATGATCATATGCAGAGTTTGAGATTGACATCACATGAAAGATACATGCCTTACAGACATTATCAAAGTAGTGGTATAGAATCTACCTATGCACATGGATCATATGGATATAGTATCTCTTCACAACTTCCGAGATTTACTAGTACTAATAGTGTTGAGCATTATGGTCATCGACCTACGCATCTTGAGAGATCTACCAGTACTAGTACTGGTGGCTACTATGATCATATTCTAAGGAAACATCATGATGGATCTTCTAACACGACATCGGATAGTGTCAACTTTTATGGATATAATCAGTCTTTTACTAGTAGTGGCCGTGAATATCGTGGTTATTGGTACTTTCAGCATGAGAACTAGCCAGTACAACCTCCATAGTCACACTACTTTGATTATGGGTCATCTAGCCAGTCAACTCAACTAACCTAATCAAACCCGTATTCACACTTGTGCTCTTATCCTTATGGTGGACAGTATCTTAATTTGTATTATTCTAGAGACAATAACGACGATTTTGAGCCCATCGTCATTCAATATTACAATGATTATAGCTCAATATGTTCTTAAATCCCTACATTGAAAATCAATAATGATAAATATTTTCGGTAGCGATTTTATGTTTCAATTTAATTATGTTTAATGTGTTTTTGGATGTATTGTGGACATATGATGCATGAATGATGATGTTTATATTTTTAAAATTTTTTTAATTTTTTTTAGAGTTTCTAACTTGCGTTTTGAGCGTATCGGCCGATACTGCACCACAACGCCACGACCGATATGTATCAGCACCTTCTGAATCGATAACCGACACCGCGACTTTGAACCATAGCTAACTGACGGTCACGCCAAAATCATCAAAATAGTTGGTGGATAGCTGGTTCGGCCCCAGGAAAAGACAGAAAGAGAAGGGCGATTAGAAAATGGGAGACAATGCCTTTGTGCTTAAGTGGCACAGTAGAAATGCCAGAGCTTTGAAGATTTATAGATGACAAACTACAGGTTGGGTGAAGTTCTAAACACTCTTGGGAACTAAATTTCCTTTCAAGTTTATTGAGGTGATAGGCACCCAACATAAATATTAGTTTTCGGTGATATACTCATATTGTAGGCGAGTTTAGCTCCTTCCTCCCATTTTTCAATAAAACCTTGAAACAAATTAAAGAAAATTTTGCCGACAAAGTTTTTTCTATTTATAAAAATATATGGTGCCTTTATCATCTACTTACTTGCTTGATCTGACAATCAAGCGTGATTCAACACTTGTTACAGAAACAAAAACAAAAGGAAAACAATTATTCTTTAGTAATTCATTTCAGAGGTTGCAAAACCAAAATTAGAAAACAATTGAGAGACTTTTGTATTTTTCCTTTCTTAAAAAATAGGCAAAACTAGCGTGGAGCCTAGGCAGTCAAATCTAAATCATAAGGTTTTGACTTATGCGCGTGTACATCTATATTATTTTAAAATACCACCGTTACCCTCCAATAATATAAATATGCCATATTTCTTCTTCAAAATTAATGTCATCCTAAACTTAAATCATCAGCCAGGCTCCCTCTGTTGTGTTGTCTGTTCACCTTCCCCTTTCCTTCTGTCTCTTATTAATTCTCCATTATTGGCCCTACAGTTGTACAGCATCAATGGATTCTCCATACAGCTTCGGTTCTATACCTTCGGTCATTGTCCTCTACCAAATTTATTCCAATTACATGAATTCAATTACAGAATTCCTTTGTGTCGTTTCATCTACTGTCACATACCTTAACTCTCAGCGTCCAAAACTACTTCAGCTTATCCAACGGACACTGCCACCCTTGTAATCACTCCTCTTTCTCTCTCTATCCGTCCACCTTCTTTGGATTGATCAACTTTTTCCCTTCCGTCTCTCCACATGGCAATGGTGTCTGAGTAAGGAACGAAACTCGACCCAACTGTTGACTATCATTCAAGACTAGCCTCTGACGCGTCCTCAAGTGGACCCCCATTCAATCGCCAACGCATCCAATTGCCGATTCCTTCAGGTATAACTTATAATTCCTTCAATTTTTGTTTGTGTAATTGATTTTATTTCTAATTTTATTTGAATCACTCTCCTGTTTGGTTGTTTGAGAAAAGGTATGAACGGACAGAAACTTGAGCATCGATTTTTATGTTCTCAACTCGATGAAATGGAATATTGATTCTTATGCTCTCAACTCAGTGAGAATCTCAAGGTTTGCACGTTTTGTAGTTCTGGGTTTTGGGGCTTTGTATTTGTAATTAGTGTTCAGTTCTTTGGTATTATTCTTGGCGTTTTTGTCAATTAGCTTTTTGTTATATAACGCAATTCCACAGTTTTTCTTGCTTCATTAACTGTATATTTGTTATTGTTATTATTCATGGTTGCATAGTGTTATTTTTTAATGTTCATAAAATGATTAATTATGGGTTCCATCGATAGAACCAATTTATGGGGATTTATCGATACTTTCTTTTTCTGGTTACTTAGAGTATGCATGCAATGATTTTGTGTCCTTTGTACCAAGTGGTTACTGAATCTTTTCAATTTTTTTCTCTTTCTATGCCTTTTTCTATTTTTGTTTTTTGAACACCAATTCTGGTGTTCTCTGCTTAGCTAGATAGTTGTAGTATTAGATTTATTTAGGTAGAAGCCAATTAAAACTTCTGTTCGTAAAGTTAGTTAATTACAATTTTAGACCATGGAAAGTTCATTAATTATAATTTTAGACATTGTAGAAAGTTAGTTAATTATAATTTTAGTCATTGATACAAGTAAATTATGTGCTTTGAATAGGGAATATTTGTTGAAATGTCGATGG